ATGGTTTTTTTTTTTTTTTTTTTTTTTTTTAGTAACTTGTGTTTTCTTGTGACTTTGCCTAGACCTTACCACAGCACTTGTATGAGTTTATCTGACTAACCTTTAACACTGTGACATAGCATTCTCCATGTTGTTATCTGTTTGTTATTGTTCTTGTTCGTTTCTTATTTTTCTAAGCACATTTTGGGCAGCCACAGGACATTTCATGGAGGGCACAGGATCCATTTATAAGAGGTCGGGAGCCTGAGTTTTAGAGCCAGCCTCTGGGTTCGAATCCCAACTCCCCACTTACCAGCCCTGCGACCTTGGACAAGCTAGAGACATGAGCTCTCTGTGCCCCGTCCTCATCAGCGATATGGAAAAGTGTCGATGCTTAGCTCGCAGGATCATCTGCAGATGACATGAGTTAGCATCCATAAAGCTCTCGGAGCCGTGCCCGGCCCATATTAGGCACTCGGTGAATGTTGAAAGTGACACCTGATGACGTGCCATTCTAAAGGTCAGTGTGCGGGGCGGGGGGCGGAGGTGAGGACCACCGGGAGTCGGGGCGGGGAGGCCGCTCGGGCTGCCCGAGCTGACGCTCTCCCTCTCCCTGCTGAGAAGCATGAGACAGTATGCACGACGCATGCTCTGAGCTTCTGGGAGAAGCAGCCCAACAGACATGAAAGGAATTTCCCACTTAACGTGTGGCTATGACGAGTTTTAACAGGAACGACGTCTAGTCCCTTACACTTACGATGATTTGGGCACGTGGCCACTTCGCTGACTCACACCGAGGTCTTGGAGCGCAGGAACCCTTAAGGGACCGACTTTAGCGCTCCATAGGTGGCGGACACTCAATTTTCATTTTCTAGTTTAGGTGAATTTCCTCTTCGATGAGGAAGATGCGATGCCTCCAACACATCTGAGCCCAGATTTATGTTGAAAACTCCGGACATGTCATGGACTGGTAGAGTACACGCGAAGAGAGCCTTGGCCGTCACACAGACGGGGGTCCTCATCCCTGGTGACCCGGGGAACTGACGTGCTCTAAACGTTCTAACAGGCAGTTGAGGCTGAGAATCCCAGATTGAGCCCACGCCCCTGATTTTACAGACGAGGAGCCCGGAGCTCGGAGGTGGACAGGGGCCTGCCCGTATCGCACGGGGAGTAAGAGGCAGAGCTGGCATCGAAGCCTGCTATCAGCCCGCTGTCCATCATGGCACCTGCCTCGCGAACATTTTATTTCTTCTTGCGATTTTTTTTTTTTCCAGCAAGCTTTCTTTTTTGATGAACATGGCTATCAAAGTTGGGGTGGAAATGGTAATAAACGTGGTGCATTACTGCCTGAGTTGCGTTTAGAAAAGCTGGAAGTAATCTTCACCGCGCTGCTCTCGGTAATGGCAGGAATTGAGTACCTGTGTCTGAAAGGCAGGGTCCTCTGTCACCAGGATCGGGCCCACGGGCAGGCCCGCAGAGCCCGCCCAGGGGTGGCATGCCTCCATGACAGTTCCTTAGCCCAGAAGCTCAGCTTTGTCCGTGCCTCTGAGCTTAGCAGTCCTGGCGGTGCTGAGTCGCTGCAGCTAATTCATATGACATGATGACATCGATTCACGAAGAGGAACACGGGTATCAAATGTTGGCCTGATGGCTCATTCTTTTCCCATAGGAAAACTCCAAGAGGTCAAGTCATAATCTGGAGATGCGGGGGAGGCGGGCAGCACAACGACCTCAGGTTTGGGTGGCCAGCAAATCCAGACATTCTCGTCCGGTTACCTGAACATCTCCAGCTCCAGTCCTGAAATCATCTGCCCTCTGACTGCCCTTCCTGTGCTCCCAGGTAGGTCATACCCCCCATGGCTAGAGCCTGGCCTGGGGACCACGTCTGTGGGAGGCTTTGCCGAGTGCCTCACCCAGACATTATGTGCTGATTTTGGAACATAACACTAGGAAGGCAATTTTGTTATTTCTTTGTCTTACGCTCACTACTCAGTATTGCTCTGATGTACTCCGTACTAGACAGAGTAATGTCCCTCCCCCCAAAGACAACCACGTCCCAGTCCCCAGAGCCTGCGAATTTGTGACCTTACGCAGCAGAAAGAACTGTGCAGATGTGATTACCCTAAAATTTTTGAGATGGGGAAATTATCTTCAAATGTCCAGGGGGCTCCGATATAATCGCAAGGGTCCTTAATAAGAGGGAGGCAACAGTACAATGTCAGAGAGAGAAGGTGTGACAACAGGAGCTGGATTACTGCACTTGGAAAATGGCCATGAGCTAAGGCAGCCAGAGATAACAAGGAAATGGTCCCTCCCCTACAGGAAATGGGCCCTCCCCTACAGGAAATGGGCTCTCCCTACAGGAAATGGGCCCTCCCCTACAAGAAATGGGCCCTCCCCTACAAGAAATGGGCCCTCCCCTACAGCCTGGAGAGGGACACAGCTCTGCCAACAGATGTTGGCCCAGGAGGTCCTACCCTGGACTCCTGGCCTAAGGAACTGTGAGAGAGTCAAACCGTGTTGTTTTAAATCACATTTATGGCAATTTCTTGTACAGCAGCAATGAGAAACCAACACATACGCCTAGATTTCTTTTTAAATAGCTTTAAGTTTCAGAATGTGATCTAATTACTTAAAATGAGATCGACTTTACTGAAATCATTTCCACTGATGTCTAGAATGGACGGCTCGCATCTCTGAGTCTGACGGGATGTCTTTGGCCAAGGGGACGCTCAGTGAAAAGACGACAGAGAAAATTCTGAGATAAACGATGATACTGCCTGGGGTTACGCCGCATCCGGGCTGTGTGACGTCCCTGAACCTGTCTCTTCGCCCATAAAATGGGGGTAATAACACGTCCATTTTATAGGGTTGTAGAAGTCTTCCTTGAGATAATGTCTACGAAGTTCTTGGCCTTGAACCTGACACGTAAAAAGCACTCAGTAAACCCAGTCCTCCTTATTCTCGTCATTATCGCTATTGTCTTCATCAACAGTGACCAGCGGTCGCTGGAAAGTCAGCGGCGTCAGGGTCACTGGGCCACTGCCAGGCCCCTCTTCCAGCCCACAGCTCCCAGCTGCCCATTTCCTGCATCAGGCCTCACAAATCCATCAGGTAGAATGGATAGACTGTCACCCCTTTGGGCATCTCTGAATTGTCAAGACATTACTTGTGTCTTGACAATTCAGGAAAAATGAGAAGGAGGAAGGTTCTTATTCTTTCCCCTATGGACAGTGCTTTACTATTTATAAGGTATTTTTGCTTTTATGCCTGTTTTGAATCTTTACAATAATCCTGCTGAGTAGAAAAGAAGGTTATTACCCCTGTTATTCGAAGCGAAAAGAAATACCCAGAGAGGCCGAGCAACCTGTGTGCAGTCACAGTTTAGAGAAGGTGCCAGGCTTACACCCCAGCACTGCAGACAGTGGACCCCACGCGCGTCCCTCACACCACGGGGCCCGTCAGCCCCGTCTCTGTACATCCTGTCAAAGAAGTGGAGGACAGGCCAGGAGTCCCCGAGGATTCGAATACGAACTTAGTGTTGGGAGAACTGGGTGACCCCATGCAGATAAGTGAAACGGGGCCCCTAACTCACACCACTCACAAAAATTCTCGAAATGGATTAAAGACTTAAACCTAAGGCCCGAGGCCATAAAACGCCCTAGACATTGGTCCTGGTGATGATTTTTTTTTGGACCTGACACCAAAAGCCCAAGCAACAGAAGCAAAATTTAACAAGTGGGACTACACTGAATTAAAAGATTCTGCACAGGAGAAGAAATAATCGACACAATAGGAAAGCAACCTATGAAATGAGAGAAAGTCCTTGCAAAAAAAAACTGGACAAGAGGTTAATATCTATATAGTTTTTAAATACTCGTACAGCTCAAGAACAAAAAGAATCTGATTGAAAAGTGGGCAGAGGAACCGAAGAGATGGTTTTCCAAAGAAAATATCCAAATGGCAAAGAAACAGATACATGAAAAGATGCTCAACATCACTAATCGTCAGAGAAACGCAAATCGAAACCACAATGAGATACCACTTCACACCTGTCAGAATTGCCATCATCAAGACGACGAGATCCAAGTGCCAGAGAGGAAGCAGAGAGAAGGGGACCCTCTGCAGTGTTGGTGGGACCATAAATTGGTGCAGCCACCACGTAAAACAGAACAGAAGTTTCTCAAAAAAAAAAACGTAAAATAGAGCTGCCATATGACCCGACTATTCCACTTTGGGGATTTGAAAGCGACCTCTGCACCCCATGACCATTGCGGAATTATTCACAATAGCCAAGGTATGCAAACAACCAGTGCCCATCAACGAGGAAGACGTGGCACATATGTACAATGGAATACCATTCAGCCTCGAGGGAGAAGGAAACCTCGCCATTCGTGACACCGTGGATGAAGCTTGAGGGCGTCATGCTTCAGACAGAGCAAGACCAAGTCCGCATGCTGTCACTTATTCATAGGATCTACAAGAGCCAGGCTCACGGAAACAGTAGAACCGTGGTTGACAGAAGCTGGGGTGCGGGGAGTTGGGAAGGCACCGCTCAAGAGAATGAACTTGCAACAAGAAGACAAGTTCTGGAGATCTAACGCACAGCATGGCGACTACAGGTGACGGAGACTAGATCTCAAATGTTCTCACCACAAAAAAGGACTGATAATTATGCGAGGAGACAGAGGTGTCAGCTAAGCTGCAGTGGCAATCCGATTACATACACACGTGTCGAAGCAACAGTTTGCACATCTTAAACTTACACAATGTTATTGCCAGTTATGTGTTAATTTTAAAAAGGCACACGAGCAGACCGTCACCGCCTCCAAGAAATGGTGCCAGGGACACTGGTGACTTCTGCAGCAGACTCCGCCGAGCGCCTCCCTGGCTCCCATGGGCTTGGAGCGCTTATTGGAAGAGCCCGGCCTCCAGGACCGCAGCCAGCCCGGCCCGCGGGGACCTGGTGCGTGGGATGCTCCCGCCTCCCGGGACTCCTGGCCAGATGCAGCGTCATCTCCTCAAGGGGCAGCATTTCTGTAGCTGCAGCCTGGAGGCGAAATGCTGACAGAGCCTCGGAGGTGAGCAACCAGAGAAAGTGGGGTGCTTCTCCCTAAGGAGTAAGTAAATTTCCGGGGCAGAACCTTAGGACTAAAAATAGCCGAGGAGGCTCCTGGCAGCAAATGAATGGAAGCAGCTTGTTTTCCCAGCTGGAGGCCGACGGCACACCTGCCGCGGGGGCGGGGGCGGCAGGCAGAGGCTGCGGGGATTTTGTTTCTTCGGCAACGGCTTCGTTACAGCAGCGGACGCCAGGCGAGCAGCAGAGCTTCCGCTGCCGGACAGTGAGCTCTGTACCAAGAACAGCGGGCTGAAACCCCCGTGCGGCGCATGTGTTCAGTTCTGAGCATTTTCACCCTAAGGCTGGGCGACCCCCCAATAGCCTGGGCAACCCCCTCCCCCCAATAGCCTGGGTGTCCTCCCAATAGCCTGGGGAGATCACAGAAGCTGGCACGTCATAAATACTTGGTGGGACCTGCTTGTCCTTGCGTCTAGACGGAAGGCTTACTGGGGTAGAACCCTCCATTACTTATTTCTCTGTGTTCCCCAGACTAGCACAGAACTCGGCGCATGCCGCGTGTATCTGCTGAGTTACGCATGAAGGCATGAAGGCATGAAGGAATGGGGGCAGGCTGGTCCTCGTCAGCAGGGAGGAGGCCCACAGAGCAGGGCGTCACGTCCTGGCTTTGACTCAGCCTGATTCAGCTGGAAACTCTGACTGCAGACACTTCTCAGCGTGTCGTCTGGACTCCCTGCCGTGCCGGGCAAACAGGAGACCTGACAGGAAATTCCGGATGACGGAGGGACGGAGGGTTCTGCTGGAATTATTCTTAGACTCTCGGGGTCATCTGGAGTGTGTCAGGGACCTGGCCCTCCCCTCGTCACCCAGGGGATGTCCCTGGCTCCGAAGTCGGGATCCGTGCCCAGGCTCCAGCCACTGACCCACATCCCTTCTGTCTGCATTGTCTGACCTGCCCGATTTGCTGGCCACATCGGGACGCAGGGAGAACCTGGGGGGCCTTGCGTGCCTTAGGGACTGTCCACTCGACTGCCAGTTGCCCGGCTGAGTGACAGGGAGCCCCAGCAGACTTTGCGAGTCTTAGGGAAGAGTGATTCCTGCTCCCGTGGCTGACCCCTGGACTGCTGCCCAAGGGGACCGGAGACGGGCCTCCTGTCTGCTGGGCTCAGCGAGTGCCTTCCCAAGGAGGAACCCCTTTGGGCAAAGCCAGCATCTGAACTTCTGTCAGTTCTTGGCAGATACGGCAATGTCCCCAGTGCCCAGCGTGTGGTGAGAGCCAGGGCCTTGGATCAAATTCTTCATTTACCAGAAAGCTGATCTCTTTAGGTTTCCAGTTTATCGATAAATTCCTAAGACCCAGAAGATGCTTGGAACATAGCAGATGCTCATTAAATATTGGAGGGAGGGAGGGAGACCAGCCCCTCGCTGTTCGCACAAGCTACCCCTGAGCTGGCTGAGAGCAGCCTTGAGCCTCTGTGAGCGTCTGGGTCCCCACATGGGGGGCTGAAGCTGGCTTCCCAGAATGGAGCCCCCTTCCCACCAGTCTCAAGACGCTTGGGCACACGTGCTCGTCCACCTGAGCAGGAAAGCTCGGGGTCAGAGAGCTTGGCAGCCGGTGATGCATCCTTTGTGGCCCGCGGCCCGGGCCCTTTTTCTTTGTCTTTCCAGCTGCCTCCTCCAGGGGCTTTTGGCACCCCCCCTCCCCCACGAGCCAACCCCAGCACCGGGAGCACCCCGTCTGGGAAGCACTGTGGGCCTCAGCCACCGAGGTGCCATGCTTCTCGCTGGGACCCAGGAGGCGGGCCGGCTGGGGCAAATTCTGTTAGGGGTGGGAGACCCGAGGGCCAGGTGAGCCGTGAGCCGTCAGGAACCTCAGGGTGGGAGAGGGATCAGTGATCGCAGTGAAACAGCGGACTGTGAAGCGGGCAGAGTCCCCGTCCTGCCGTTCTAACTCGGCAACCAGGACGTGTCCCATCGCTCCTCTGGACCCCGATTTTCTCCTCTGCTAACGTGCCGCCCATGTGCTGGTCACACGTGCAAAGTACTCGGGGAGTCGTAAGTGCTGTGAACGCATAAGCTGACGATAACAGCGTAAGCGTACCCAAATAGCGATGGCGGTAGCCATCGAGGCCCGCCTGTGAGTGCCTCTGTCCCTCACCGCACCCTGCAGCTCCATGTGACGTCAGGGAGCCTGAGGGATGGGGGGAGGCGAGGCCTGCAGCAGGAAAAGCCCCGGGCGACGGCCAAGTGTCCATCCTCCCAGGGCGTTGCTGCAGCCCGCCTGGAGGACGGCCCTAGGGCAGGTGCTGTTCAGGCCCAAAGGGCGGGAAGAAGCAAGAACGAACTCTGACCTTGACCCCACAGGACTGCCCTGACTGGAGAGTGCACGCATCCTCTCCCTGGCTGGTCCTCAGGCCCCTCGGGACCTGGAGTGTGTGTGGGCGGGGGTGGAGTGGGGTGCCCGGGTTCAGGCAGGAGGCGCCCCTGGAGCAGGAAGCGGCTCCCTGTGTGGACGATGGGGGGCTGGACGGCCGCCCATCTGCCCGGCCAGATCCCTTGAAACTGTCCCCCTGGTCTCCCACGGGCTCCGGCCTCAGAAGCTCACAGTCCTTGGAACTGTGGCCAGCACTCAGCACCGTCAATGCCACCCAGCATGGTCCCGCTCGGGCACGCCCGGCTTAGAGGGGCTTTGCTGTCACCCTGCACCAAGGGTGTCACACATGGGGAGCTGCTATTGGGAGGTTCGCCCATCAGTCACTCACTCAAAGACCCATCGCGTATCCGTTACGTGCTGGGCTTTGTGCTAGACCCTAAGGACACAGGCGAGAAGAAGGCCAGGCCACTGTCCTTAGCAGTTCCCACCGGGGTCGGGGCAGAGCTGGGGCAGACAGACACACAGACACCTACGTACAGACAGTATGATACGTGCTGACCGCCGCCCCCCGACACATCTCGGTAGTGGGGAGCAGGGTGGGGCGTGACAGGGTAACGCTCAGTGTCCTCTCCCAGGGGCTGCAGTGCCACTTGGCCACGCCTGGCAGGAGGCAAACGACCCCCCCAACACCCTCACCCTCTCTTTCAACCTCCTCAGCTGGGAGCCGGAAAGAACCCCAGTCCTGCCCTCGGTGGGCGTGGGAAAGTCACTCAGTTTCCTGGGACTTCGCGTCCTCACCCATGAGGTGGGAAGGACGATGGCTCGTCGTCCATCCTCCCAGTCCAACCACGGGCACTTTGTGAGCGCTGGCTGCGTGGCGGGCCTTGGGGACCCGGCGCAGACCATGGTCCCTCCTCTCAGGACGGTCAAGGTCACTGGAGGAGACAGACGTGGACCCACGACCTCACGCGCGTGCCAAGAGCTCAGATAGGAGGGACACGGGCGCCTGCAGATGTGGGGGACACAGGCTCCTGCGGACATGGGGGACATGGCCACCTGCGGACGTGCAGGAGGGACCTCGGCCGCCACCATTCTCTCCGGGATGGGCGCAGTTACGCAGAGGAGCAAAGTGCTCTTGAAACTGTCGCTCGTGTATCCTGTGCCGCCCCCTCCTGTGAGCTCTGCCCCGCCCATCAGAACACGTGAGTGGGCAGCTGCGGGGCCGGGGGCTCAGCGGGGATAATCGGTGGCCCAGGTGACACGCCAGCGAGTGCCAGCGCCCGGCTTCTCTGTCTGCGGCTGTCCCGACACGACACGGGGAGGCTGGCTCGGCGCCGTCAGGCTCCTCGTCCTGTGTCATCGTGTCCGTGCTTCTCCCCCTCGGCCGATGCCCTCGGGCGCCCCCCGGCGGGCACTTACACTAAGGGCGGCCCCTTCCCGGGTGAAGCACTGGTGTCGTGGCCGGTACCGACCCCAAGATGAAGGGGTGGTCCTTTAATCATGGGGTTTCGGGCTTAAGCCCTGGGGGTGGTCTGGGCAGTTGCTTGGGGGGGTGGCTGGGTCACCCAGGGGGTAAGCGGCAGGGCCAGGCCCACGGCCCGAGTTTTCTGAATTCAGCCCCGTTCAGCAAACCACAGATGGCGCAGACCCCGCCTGTGAGTGCTAGGAGGACCCTTCTCCAGCGGGAAAGCTTTCTCGGGGACAGCAATCGGCCCCCACGAGACAGGGGCGACTAGAGATGAAGGGCGGGAGCCCGCTTCCCCAGGGAGTCGGGTGCGGGGAGGGGATTTTGGTCTCTCGCGGGAACTTCCAGAGCCTCGCCCCAGGTCAGCTGCCTGACCGCCCAGGTGCAAACACAAGTCCCAGCATCCCCCGGAGCCCCCGGAGCCCCTGCCCGGTCTCCGTGGGTGCCGCCCTGTTGTCAGGACGCCCCCTGGTGGTGTGGTGGGGAACCCAGCCCCTGCAGTCAGTCTCCTGTTTAAGTCTCGGGTCTGGGGGTTCCGGGTACCTAACCTGTCTGAGCCCATTTCCGTGTCTGCAGTGATGGGGGGACACTGCCCAGCTTCGGGGGGGGGGATACTGCCCAGCTTCGGGAGCTGGTCCGGAACGGCCGAAGCGACGCGCGGAGCCTGACTCACGGCGGGCGCTCAGCCCGAGTGCTGCCTCTCCCCGCCTGCACCCCGTCCTGTCCCCGGGACCCACAGCGGCTCGCAGCTGGGTTTGGAGGACGTCAGCGACGTGACATGGCCCAGACATAGCGGCGGTGGCGTCCCAGGGAACCCTGCGGGCAGCTCGGCTAGCGCACGGCCCCACTTCTCCGGGCCCGCGGTGGCTCAGTGCCTGGCCTGCGGCTGCCCTAGGTCGGGCCTTGGATCCGGGGCCTGGGTTCCTCGCCCGTGAAGTGAGGAGAGGCCAGTCACCCAGCTTCTGATATCACCCAAGCACCTAACGCGGCCTGGGGAGCTCCCGAGGGGCAGCTCAGCCTTGGGCAAGGTGCTCAGCTGCTCTGGGACTTGGGTCTGAGAAACGGGGATGCTGATAAGGTCGACTATGTATTAGATATAATTTATATGAATGATAGGATTTATTATGCGAATATCACATATTAGAATATTAATATAACCTACAATGTAAATTAACCATACCTTCCGCGGCAAAGCACGCAGCTGTGGTCTGCCCTCCGCGTGGGCATCCGACGTGACACCAGACGCTCAGATGCTGCTCCCGCTGTGCCGGACGCTGTTCAAAGTGCTGGGATAAACTACCGTGTTGTACGTAACATGTTATATTATTAGTTTCTATTTATTTATCATATTTTATATACGTTATATAAAGTATATATTTAATAGAGATAACACCATTTATATAACATACTATACTGGATTTTATTACGTGATATGCATTATGTTAATATCATATACATTATATTATATTATAATTATAAGATACATTATGTTAATTGTTCTATGTAATATATGTTATATATTAACATATTATGTACTATATAAATATGATATATCCTATTGTAACATATTTATGTAATATATACTTATGTATATATTAAATATATTATATATAATTTATATAAAATATAACAAGAATAAACGTGAAATGGAGCATACGACATCACGTACAGCACGGTAACTTGTCACATCGCCTTCAGCGGTGGTGTCCAGCGCTCGGCGCTCCGCCCGGTGCCCACGCGGGAGGCAGGCCAGGGGCGCACGGTGACTCCGATGACTTGAGCATGGCAGCGTGACATCGGGCCTCCAGGGAGGAGGAGGTTTGTAGCGGCTAGTGCCGCAGCTCCGCGCCCTTCCGAGCCACCCCTGGAACCAGCGGAGTCGCCGCGACCCCGCCCACTGCGGCCCTGCGCCTGGGTGGCGTCCCTCGCTGCTGACCAAGGTGCGCAAAGCGAACCGGATGCTCCAGCCGAAACGCTGACCCGGGGACGTGGGCAGGTATGTGACACGTGACGCGGCTGTGGAATGAGCGGGAACTGTGGAGAGGGGCGGAGCTGGGGGGCAGGCTGGGCAGAGAAACCCTCGGACAGGCCCGTAGGGCTTTCCGGGGCGCCCATAACACTGCCGCAGACCGGGGGACTCGACCACCGCGTTCCTTTTCGCGGTTCTGGCATCTAGAGTCTCGGGTCACCGTCTCCGAGCGCTGGTTCCTCCTCGGCCTCTCTCCTTGGCTGCCGATGGCCCTCCTGTCCCTGGTCCCCACAGTCTCCCCCCTGCGTGCGTCCACAAGCTCCCTAACCTCCTCCTACCGGACACCCGGTGCAGTGTCCAGGACCACCTTAATGGGGGTCAAATACAGGGGGGAAGGTCGAGGTTAAAAAGGGATCAAATATATGGTGGATGAAGGAAACTGGACTTTGGCTGGTAAACACACAATAGAATATATAGAATATACAGATGTCAAATTAGAATGTACACCTGAAAATTATATAATGGTATTAACCAATGTTACCCCAATAAACTTA